CTAGACAATCTCAATATGATTGACTTAGGGTTCACGGGACCCAGGTTCACGTGGACAAATAAAAGAAAAAAGGGTCCACCAAATCCTGAAACGGCTAGACCGTTTCCTTGCCAACCCGGACTGAGTGGGGACATACCCTGATGCGACTGTGGCTCATTTTCCTCGCACGCACTCTGATCGTTATCCGGACATCTTGAACTTAACAAAACCTATGAATAAAATCACCCACATATTCCGCTTTGAAACAATGTGGCTAAACCATCCTGATTTTAATAATAGTTAACTATCATTGGTCAAACAATATATACTACAGGAATTCCATATCATCTTTTACGAAATATGTGGAGACATGGAATAAGGGCATTTATGGAAATATCTTCAAAAAGAAATAAACATTACAAAATAGAATATTAGGTATTCAAAATATGCATCTTACCTACAAAAAGGACTTCTGTATAGACCTTGAGGAACAACTCATTTGCGAATATAATGGAATCCTAGAAAATGAAGAGGACTTCTGAAAATTAAAATCTAGAGTCCAATGGCTAAATAATGGAGATGTCAATACCAAATTCTTCCACATCTCGACTATCCAACGAAGCAGAAAAAATAGAATCCTAGGACTCAATGACTCTGTAGGAATATGAACTTTTGACTTACAGAATATACCGATGAGTTTACAAAGCCTTAGCTTTATGTTTTGATGATCTAACAAACTTACTGTCAAAGAACCAGATAAGGAACCTAACGCACTTGGTACACATCGCAAATCAACGAACTTTGGCTAATGTGAACTGCTACAACTTCAGAAGATAGAGAATCAACACAGGGACCTAATATCTTTGTGTTCCCCTGACAGCAGTACGAAGTCAACTATTTATAGCTGGAAAGTGGATGCCTGCACTATAGGCAGAAACAGTGCAGCACAGTTCTGCAGTCACTTCTCATTTGACCTACCAAGTGATTACATCATTCAAGTGATGTCATCTATCTTGTATTAACAAAGTGCATTACAACAAAACATCACTTGAACTCTTGAGAATTCATTCAAGCATTCAAGCATCTGACATTCAAGCATTCAATTCTCAAGTGCATCAAGAACAAAGTTTAACACTACTACGGACCAGTTCCTAGAGATAGTATTTTGTATGTCCTTAGTTGAGTTGTAACTTTGTAATTGTTCTTCATTGAAATTCCTACTTTTCTTATCTAGAAGCGTTACTTAGGAACCTCCTGTAAAACTATAAACCATTAGTGTTTGTGTCGTGACTAGAGTTAGTCATGAGTTGAAGTCTTTATAATAGGTGTATTGCAAAGTGGCTTGTAATATGTGTATTACAAGTTAGTGAGGGATTAAGAGTTTAATTCCTAGATTGCATAGGTTGTAATCTAAAGTTGCTCATAGTGAAGTTGAAATCCTACCAGTGTAGGTGGTAATTTTTTATCCCCTTGAACAGGGATTTTTTCACATAAAAATTCCCTGTCTTATTTGCTTACTATTTTATCAGCATTCTCAGTAGAAACTCATAGAAGACCTGGTCTCTATATAGTTTTATGGACTCATATATTCTTTATGGAACATAATCTTAAACCACTTTACAGACATTTACACTACTGAATTACCATTTTGTTCTAGATATGTTACCCATAATTCAAACACTCTTAATATCCTCAGTGACAGAGATAAAGAATTCCTTAGTAGAGACTAAAATACCCTAGAAATTCACAAAGCAATAAAGTCTTTTAAGCCGCTCAAAGCACCCAGACCAGATAGTATTCACCCAATATTTTTTCAGAAATGTTGGGCGGACACAAGTCCCTCAATTATCAACACCTGCTCATATGCTTTCCGAACCCTTACAATTGATCTTGAGATAAATAAGACATTTGTATCTCTCATCCCTAAGAAAAAGAAATCCACAGTACATCTCCCACTATAGATCTATTAGTCTTTACAACACGATCAACAAGATATTTACTAATATTATTGTTAATAGGATACAGCCATTCCTTAACAAAACAATTAGTCCTAATCAGTGCAGCTTTATTCCGGAAAGACGTGTTGCTGATAATGCAATAATATTTTTGGAAGCTATTCACTCCTTTAAAAAGAATTCAGGAGGCAAAGAAAAAATGATGCTTAAACTAGACTTAGAAAAAATATTTGATAGCCTGGAATGGTCGTTTATTCGAAACTCCCTACATGCCCTCAACTTTCCTATTAAATTAATCACACTAATTATGAACTGCATCTCAACATCATCTACCTCTATCATAAGCCAATTGTCAACCAACATATTTCTTTGAACTCTCTCGTGGCATACGCCAAGGGGACCCATTGTCACTATACCTCTTAATCATCTGTATGTAATCAATTAGTAGGTACATTGACTATGTTGTGGACATTTGTCAATGGAAACCTATAAAAATTAGTCTATCAGGACCCCTCATATCCCACCTCCTATTCGCAGATGATCTTATCATCTTCTCTAAGGCAAAGGCAACGAGTGTTGCCTCTATCATAAACATCTTCAACTCCATTTTCCAACAATTTGGTCAGCGGATAAACTTCACAAAATCAAAAATTCTCTTCTCAAAGAATGTGGATAGCAACACCCAGAGCACGCTCTCCACAATGCTAAACATTAAGGCAATAAACTATGTAGGAAAGTATCTTGGCTTCCCAATTACCAATCTACAATCAAAAAGCTATGAATATCAATTTATCCTTGATAGAATGAATACAAGACTAAAAGGCTGGAAAGCAAAGCTCCTAACCCAAGTAGGAAGAACCACCCTTATTCAGTCGGTTCTGAAAGCTATACCAACACACTCAATGTAACTCAATTATCTGCCTACGTCTACTAGAAAACATATCGACTGCATTTAATGGGACTTCTTATGGGGATCAACTACAAAAAAAGAAGGGTGCACCTAATTAATTGGGATACTGTAACATCACCAAGACAAGAAGGAGTCCTGGGTCTTGTCAGTTCCAAGAGAAAAAACCTAGCTTTCCTTTGTAATATCATTTGGCGCCTCTACGTCAGCCCAAACAGCCTATGGGCACAAGTGGTAGGTCAAAAATATCTAGCAAGGCAGGATCATAAAGATTTTATCGCAAACATAGCTGACTTTTATGTGTGGAAGAGCCTTGTTGGAGCTTACCCCTTCTTTGCAAAAGGATTAGCTTGAAATGTGATGAATGACAACTATATTAATCTTTTGAAGAACAACTGGGTCATCGCCCAGCTACCTCTAAGGGCTCTCATCCAAGGTCAACTAAAAAATGTAGATTTGGGGAAAAATTTCTCACACATATTATAATCAAACTCTTGGGACCTAAGCCACTTATCCTTTGAACCTCTTACAGACATTCAATCACTAATTCACAGCACCTATCTACGATTCTTTTAAGCTGTCGCAGATAACTTCTTTTGGAAACCAACCACTGACGGCTCCTTCACTATCAGGTCAGCCTATTCTTTAATAAGGCAATGTCTATCTATACAAACACCAAGGGATTTCGAACACACTTGGATATGGAAAGCCAACTGCCATAATAAACTCAAACACGTCCTATGGTTATTAATCATAAAGTGCCTACATACATAATCCATGCTATATTACAGGAAAATAATTCCATCCCCCCTTTGTCCTCACTGCAATGTTGTGGAAGATACCGAACACATCTTCCTCCATTACCCACGAAACAACATCATTTGAAACACTCTACATATAGACTTTGAACCACCAGATTTTAGTACGTGGGTTAAAGAACTATGTACTTCCAATGGCTCAACAACTCTACCAAACAAAATTAAAGTCCCATTATCCATTATCACCCCCATTACCTTATGATGGCATATCTTGTTACACCGTAATAATAACTTGTTCAAAAAAACATCTGCAATAATCACTAGCAACACACCAATTGCCCAAGCAATTGAATACCTCTACTTCACAAGCCAAAAAACAGGCCAACAGAAAACCACTAGAATTCAAAGTACGGTGGGAACCACCACCACCAAACATCTATAAACTCAATATAGATGATGCATACAGAAAAAACTTCAACTATGGAGGAGCAGGAGAAATCATTAGGGATTCCCATGGAAGTTGGATAGCAGGGTTTTCCCGCCGCGTTGTGGCAACTACGCCACTCCAAGCTGAACTTACAGCCTTGCTCAAGGGATTGGAACTGGCCTTTACTAAAAACTTAATGCCACTAATAGTGAAAACTGACTGTCAGGTATTGTCCATAATTATAAAACCGCATATGATTAATGATGCTTACACAATTTTACTACATGATTGCAGGTTCATCATCAGCCATGAACCAACCACCAGTCAAGCACATATACCGTGAAGCCAACTCAGTTGCCCACATTTTAGCAAACCATGCAAGTACATGGATACTGGAAGGAAATGCAGGACGTGAAGACATATTTTGGAGCACAGTGTCTTTATTTGCTTTCTTTACTTATCGCAAAGACTTATTAGGAACTACATCGTTAAAATATATTTCATGTTGTAATAACACTCTTTAGTTTCCTACTTTAATACATCTCGTCGTTCACAAAAAGTTTTTTATCATAAGTTTAAATTATCATATTATGACATAATGTAAATAGCTTAAATCTATCCTTTATTAAAACACCAACATAAAAATAAAACAGTAAATAAAAAAGCTTTATAGCTTATTTGGTCAAGTTTCTAAAATCAGCTTATTTTAAAATATGTTCTTTTCAAATATGTTTTTAAAAAAGTACTTTTAATGAAAAATAATTTGTGTTTGGCTAATTAATTTGAAAAGTACTTTTGAACATCAATTAATGTTTGACCAAACTTTTAAAAAGTGATTCTAAGTGTAAGCTAATTTTTTTATTACTCTCAAAAACTCTCCTTCTACTTCTATTTAAAAGTATTTCTTTTGAAAACTTAGCCAAATATTTTAACTTTGGAAAAAATACTTTTTGACCCAAAAAAAAGGGATCGGAAGGTTTATGAGTTGCCTTAAGCAAGCAAATGCCGGATATGTCTTGAACACCAGGAATCTTCCCTGATCTTTTGCTTTTTTCTTTTCTTCAAGAATCTTCCTCCATCTTCGAAACCACAAAAAACTGAGGAAATAATAGTTAATACGTTTCGTTCAAACACTACAAAGAGAACATTTGCCTCTGTACAAAAATCCCGCTTTATTCACTGCCAACTCTTCAACATGTCATTAGCTTGTTCTTTTATCAGTCACCCCCTTAAAGCAGTATTCCTCCTTCTTTAACTTTTGTAAATATTCTTTCTGGTCATGAGTACTGAATCATCCAGAACAAGCCAAGAATCACCTTCCCCTTTTTATTAACTTCTTGAAACTAAACACCACTTCTCTAAATGGAAAAACTCTCCAAAATACATCACTGTAGTGATCCTACTTCATACCCTGAATAATAACACCAAATTCTCTTGAACCAAACTCAAAAAAACCCATTCTTGCCATGGGTACATCCGAACCAGAGGACTCTATTGTGAAAATAAATAGCAGGGAATCCCCCAAAACCCCTAAAGAAACTGAATTGTCCGTTTCTTCAAAACCCCATTTCAACAAGAATGACAGCAACAACAGTAATAAAGATTTAAACATAGTGAATGAGTCACCAGTTTCACAACATTCACCGTTACACATGGCCCAGGAAGAAGCTTTACACTACAGTTCCAGCTCTTCTTTAAGGAAAAAATCTAGTCTTTTGGTGAGTAGGACCAAATCAAGGCTATTGGACCCACACCCACCTGAGCAAGATCAGAGGTCTCAGAATGTTGCAATGAAATCTGGAGCTTTATTAAGAGATAGTGAAATTGAAGAAGATGACGCTTTTTCAGATGAGGATTTGCCTGAGGAATACAAGAAACTGGAGTTCAGTCCATTAACTGTACTTCAGCTGGTGAGTTTGGTTGTAATTATTGCAGCTCTAGTTTGCGGTGTTATATTTAAAGTATTGAGGGAAAAAAAGGGCTTTGGGCTTGAATTGTGGAAATGGGAAGCAGTGATTTTGGTGTTGATTTGTGGAAGATTGGTTTCTGGTTGGGGGATAAGGTTAGTGGTTTTCTTGATTGAATGCAACTTTTTGTTGAGGAAAAGGGTTTTATATTTCGTTTATGGATTGAGAAATTCAGTGCAAAATTGCATTTGGTTGAGTCTGGTTTTGATTGCTTGGCAGTCTATTTTTGACAAGAAGGTTGATAAAATGACTGGTGGGAAGGTTCTACCTTATGTGTCAAGTATTTGGGTTTGTCTTTTGGTTGGTGCATACATTTGGTTGCTGAAAACACTTCTTGTGAAGGTGCTGGCTATGTCATTTCATGTTAGTACATTCTTTGACCGTATTCAAGAATCGTTGTTCAATCAGTATGTGATTGAGACGTTGTCTGGGCCGCCGTTGGTTGAGATTGATCAGCAGGAGGAGGAAGAGAAGGTTATGGCTGAAGTGCAGAAACTTCAGAGTGCTGGGGCTACATTGCCTGCTGATCTAAAGGCGAGTATATTTGCAAAAAGACCGATTGGAACACCACGCAAGAGTCCTACGTCTGCTACTACGAGGAGTTCTGCATTTTCGAGGGTTATTTCTGAGAAGGTGAAAGAAGAGGAGCGAGGAATCACTATAGATCATTTGCATAGACTGAATCAGAAGAACATTTCTGCTTGGAATATGAAAAGGCTGATGAATATGGTTCGAAATGGTGTGCTGTCAACTTTGGATGAGAAGCTACCACAGTCGACTCATGAGGATGAATCGGCTGTGCAGATCACTAGTGAAAAAAAGGCTAAAGCTGCAGCCAAGAAGATATTTAACAATGTGGCTAAGCCTGGCTCCAAGTAAGATTTTTCCTTAAAAAGACAAGTTTAGTTTCCTTCACTGTAACTTACCTATCTCTTCGGACTACTGATGCTAACAACAATTAGTTGTTGCCCTTAAATTCCTATGTTATCATAGCTCTGCAGTTTATATTTGATATCTCTGCTATTATTTCTGAAACTTATCGTGTTGTTAGTAAAATAAATAGGATAATGTTAAGTGCCCGCTTCGGCGAAAGCTGGACCAGAAGTTACAGCCCATAATTCTTTTATATTCTTAGCTCTTGTGTTGTTCTATAATCTATTGTTTTCCAAGCTCATTGGTTTACTTAATTGGTGGTCTGTGACTGCCATACATCAGGTTCATCTATCTGGAGGACTTGATGCGTTTTATGAGAGAAGATGAGGCTGTGAAAATAATGCGCCTTATTGAAGGTGGAACTGAAACCAGCGGCATAAGTAAAGGGGCTTTAAAAAATTGGGTGGTGAGTATATAAGGCCAATTTGCCTCTTCTTTCCTACATTCTGTATTCAGATTTTTGCTGATGCAGAATATGCAAGTTGTCCTTGAATAGTCAACCTTTTTTCTTGGATAAATTAGTGCGAACTCATCTTAAAATTGTAGCGAACAAAAAATTTTGGTATTCATTTCAAATCATAGCTACAAAATGAGCAAAGATGGCTAGTTTCAAGAAAACATAGTTTTTTCACTTTCACATTTCACTGATGGAGATTGGCATGTGAAGTAAGAGTGTCCCGGCTATGAAAAGATGCTCTAGCTGAATGTAGCCTAACCAATTTAAACCAAAAGTAAATGAGACTTTGAAATATTGATATCCAAAGAGAGTGTGAGCTTTAATCGAAAACCTAGACTTGAGGTGGAATTTGGCCTTTCCTGCTATTTTTTATTTTTAGATAATCCTAAATTAGCACAAGTTTGATAGGATTATAATGTTTTACTTTATATTTCCCTTCCAGGTTAATGCATTTAGAGAACGAAGGGCTCTTGCTCTGTCTTTGAATGACACTAAGACTGCAGTAAACAAACTTCATCAAATCTTGAACGTCCTTGTTGCAATTATCATATTGGTCATCTGGCTCCTTATTCTCAGAGTTGCCACTACACATTTCTTGGTCTTTTTGAGTTCCCAGATGCTTCTGGTAGTATTCATCTTCGGAAACTCAGCCAAGACGACATTCGAGGCAATCATCTTTTTATTTGTGATGCACCCATTTGATGTAGGCGATCGCGTTGAAGTTGATGGAGTTCAGGCAAGAAATTCTTCCGTTTCAAAGTGTATGTTTGATTGTGTTCTAACATGCATGCTAAAGAATTTCTTTGATGCTTGTTCAGTTGGTAGTTGAAGAGATGAATATACTGACAACAGTTTTCCTAAGGTACGATAACCAGAAGATCATATATCCAAACAGTGTCCTATCGACAAAGCCCATAAGTAATTATTACCGTAGTCCAGACATGGGAGATTCAGTTGATTTCTGCATTCATATCTCAACTCCCATGGAAAAGATTGCTATGATGAAAGAGAGAATAACAAGGTATATCTACAGATATGTATGGAACTTCGAGCTATAGTGGTCTCACTTGCTTTTTCACTTAGCTAAGCATTAGAAAAACATGCTCATCATAATATTGCAGAAAGGACTCTGATTTGTCATATTCGTCCATAGAATTCTTACTCCTATAGGTGCATATATGAGAATCAAGATTGCTGTTATAACTAGTAATAATATAATTGGCTTGGCATGCTAATGGTAAACTGCACAAAGCGATAGTACTTTTGACTTTCTTCTTAGCTTGATCATGAGGAGTTGTTAAATTTTCTTGTACTTTTGATTAGTTATGGTTATGGCTTCTGCACTGGCAGGTATATTGAGAACAGGAGCGATCATTGGCACCTAGCTCCAATGATTGTAATGAGGGACGTGGAGAACTTGAACGGAATAAAATGGTCAGTGTGGCCCTCACACACGATGAATCACCAAGATATGGGAGAGAGATGGGCGAGGAGAGCTCTTCTGCTTGAAGAAATGGTAAAAATATTCAGGGAGCTGGATATCCAATACCGTATGCTACCTCTTGATGTCAACATTCGTACCCTGCCACCATTGTCTTCAAGCAGAGCTCCCTCTAACTGGTCACTTTGTGCTTAATTGATCGAAAAGGTCACACATTTGAGAATCATTCAAGAGGGCTGTGATGGTTTGTTACTGGAGCAATTTTCTACAAATGCTCAAGAAGGGTGTAGGCCGAGAAGTATTAATCCAACTGTGAATGATCCAGTATTTTTTGTTTCTCATCTAATAGCCAATGGTTGTGTACATAGTTAACTTTGATGTCTTTTTTCAGTTGAAAATGCTGTAATATTGAACCTGAGACCCCTTACTAATTTTAAAGTCCGAACTCTAATTAGATGTTCAAGAGGCCACAAGTTCATTGTTACTAGTTGACTGTAAGTAGATGTTATCAGGCCATAAGATCATCGTAAATAAGATATTGTTAGGCCGAGTATTAACTGTCCTAATTAATTTAAAATTGAGAAAATGACCCTCTACAGTCCCTCAAATTTTAAGGAAATTTTACCACCTATAGAATAGGTTAGTACCCTATTTATATTTTATAAATACCCTTTTAAAATATTACATTCTATAAATACCCTTT